AAATCAGGATCAATGATGAAAAGATATATATAATACCAATTAGTTTGTATTGTTCGATTTTTGCCATAGCCCGCCTTTTCATAAATTGTTTTTTCTTCCTCCGCTCATAAATTCGAAAAATGATATTCTATTATGTTAGGTAATCTTCTGAAGGTTTTGACCAAAGAAGGGGGCTATGATCATCGCAAAACATGAAGGTCTCTGAAACAAATATGGTAATCCTAATAGTCGATTAATTTGCCGATCCCGAATGAAACAACATTCCGAAATTGACCTTTATTAGTATGGACGATCATTGCAAATCATGAAACAAATATGGTAACTCTAATATCCACCCTCTGCTCATATTAAGAAAAAAAAAATAATCAATTAATAATCATGTCATAGCATTTTCGGCCTGGATTGCATGAGGTTAGTAGTGAACTTTCTGCGGTCTTACGCCTATTATTTCTAGACAAATACTGTACTTATCAGACAAATATCAGCGTATCTGCATCATCAAAAAGGAACTTGGTTATAAATTGTTTTACTCCGAATCCAAAAGGTTTATTATATTTTTCTGGAGATATTTCTAGAGATATTCCTTCTTCCGTATATTTCTATTAAGGATATCTATTAATTCTGACTCTTTCCATTTATCAACATCCCACCATGGGACAATATTTTTAGCTATCTGCTAAATATTATATTTGACTATTTCTTTTTCCTGTCTTTCAAGCATTCCATTATGAAGCATAAATCTTTCGATCTCTACCTGTTTTTTAGCTATTTCGATTTTCCTTTCAATAATTTCCTCTATTTCTACTTTCCAATATTCTAAATCATAGGGATATTCTGACATCTCTTCTTTTTCTTCAAATCCTAATTTATGATATTCTAATACTTGTATCTTCCATCTTCGCCGAAACTCATGCTGAATTTCTTTATACCAAGTGCTATTTATCCAGCAGAGCTTATCAAGAACTTCTAATGGAAACTTTTGAATGATTATAGCAATTGTATCTGGTATTTCGAGTGGGTTGTATGAATACATTTTATATACTTTTCGGTATATTATTGTTAGAAAAAAAGTTCAAATTAAAAATATTTCTCGGAATTGAAAAAAAAGTTTATCCTAACTTCTCTAATACTAGTTCTACTCATCATCAGACTATTCTTCTTCAACTATAAGTTTTATTTTTGGGTATAAGTTTTGGAAATCAGATATTATATTATTTCTAATCTATAAACAGCCTCTAATTTCTATTATTTTCAAACTAGAAGCCAGCCTTGGAATTTTTAAAAATACTTTTAGACTTATTCGCCTAGAACCTCTTATCGTGAGTCTTTTTAAATTGGGATACTCGGCTAGAAACGCTTCTAGATTTTTATTGTTAAGTATACGTGACCCACTATTTTCAAAACTTAGCTATTGTAAATTGGGGCAAGCCTTGCATACTTCGGAAATGTACACATCTGGCTCTAAAATTATTTCTCCAATAAATTTTAGTTCTAGCACTTGTTTACATACATTTGACTTCGTATCTTTTATTAATGCCTTTGTGAATTTGATTCTGTGAATATTTGTTAGGACTATTTTTTGCCATATTAGTCTTCTAACTATATAGTATCATTGCTTATTAACTAATAAAAGAGAATGTAATTTTTCACCCTCATTTTTTCTATGATATTGGAAAATCCTATCGAGAATCTCATTTGGCATTGTGGCTATATAACGGATGCTTGATTTTTCGAGTTTGTGAGTATGGCCAGGATTAATTCTTCGAAATTAGACCACTCTAGTCACATTACATTCTTTATCGATATGAAGCCTGTTTTTACGATTTTTAGATCTCTCCATTCATCTTCATATTTTTGTCTAAGCATCTGGTTAGTAGCTTTACCCAAGATAATATATATATCTGTATGGATTCGCTTTATACTATCTTCTAGAGGTCTAATTTTTTCTGATATAATTTTACGTCCCTTTGCTAAAATAAAAGGTGTCATGCGCCGATATGATCCTTGTCTTCGTCCATCTGAATATAATTGCCCTCAGAGTGATACTAGCATATGTTTAGCAACTTTACCTGCCTATCCATCTTTATGCTTGATTTCTGTAAGATTTCTTGCCTATTGATAGAAAAAAGCATGTTCACTCATAAGCGTACTTTGCTTAAATATTAGAGCATTAGGACTTTCAGAAGATAACTCTATGTGGAGACCTAGATTCATTGCTGTTATCAAATCATAGTGAGTGTAATATTTTGCGGGATTATAGCAAAATCCTCTTATACATTTTTGTTCTGCTGGCTGACCTCTTATGAAAGCACGATAAATTCCATATTCCAAACTATAGTCAATATGTTCTGTACTAATATGTGAGATTGTTCTAAACTCTCCTGGTCTTATTGGCCAGCCTGCATTACTACTAGTTAAAATGTCTGGGTAAAATTCATTATAATCCAATTCTGTCGCAATTCCTTCATATGGCTCTGCCCATGTTAAACCTTCTATATAAGCTGATTTTATCCAATGATCCTCTTCTGGTGATAAGTTTTAAGCTTTTCTAGGTCCTCTAGCAATATCTTGAAAGTAGCGTAAACTTGTTGATGCATAAGTTCCTGTTTTTCGCAGATCTATCTATTCACCACTCTTCCAAAAGATTGCATTAGCTTCTTCATTATAACATTTATGAGCCTGCTGAAGTGCTTTTTTCGGATTAGCTTTGATTAAAAACCAGTCTTGTGATAAATCTCAGAAGTCACTTTCAGAGTCAGTCTATTATGTAGATCTATCATAGAATTCAACATTATTACCTTGCTTTTTCCAGAACAAGAATCTCCAGTTTGCTGAATACGATCTTGTATCTGTATTTTGGTAAGCTGAGGCGGTTTCATAATCACTTTCGCCTTCTACTTTTGCCTTTGACCTTTCTTTTGGCCTATAAGAAATTTATATACAGAATTGTATACGGTAATAATACGTTTTAATATTCGTAAAAAATATATAAAATATACTGAAATTAGTTACGTATACAAAATAAGGAAATTGTCAGAATTACGAATATTTAAAATTTATAAATTACGTATATTATATAAGTTATTTCAGTATATTAGATACGTTTTATCTGTAAATATTATACGTTATTTTCAG